ATGCAGTTGGATAGTTTTGAATAATTACAATAACTGTATGGATATTTGTGATCAATTGTATGTGATTCTATATATTGAGGACTGTTGGATCTTGCTAATAAAGCAATACAACATTGCGGCCTCAAGACTTCATAAATCTTGACGTTCGAAACTAGTTTTACTCTACTCACTGGCGATGTAACAACACTAATCGCCGGACACCGCACAACTGGAGGCTAGAATATTACGATCTGAGACTAACCATCAATAAATACAATCCAACAAGAACATAACAACAACTTACATAACGTAATTATGATGTCGATTTTTTGCAGATCTTACTATAGTCTCGATTATTTACAGATTTTACTATATTCTTGTGAGGATTCTTCTCGACGAAAGAAACCAAATTAAAAAATTAAAATATGTACACGGTTTGGTAGTCCTTTGCTCGTAGTGACAGTTATTCAACAACAAGTTACATTTGATCTTAGCGAGTGTCACTATTGTAATACATGAACAGAAATTGTAATTTTTGAATTTTCTGGTTTTGGTTCAGTGTATCTTTATATTATTAGCTGCATTTGAAATTGTTTCAGAAAATGAGTGGTGTAGTGTGATATTCCTTTAGGTAGTACAAATTTGCTAAATATAAATTTTAAATATTTTATGAATCAACTCAATGATTAAATGAAATCCCAGGTTCAAATCTTCGTAGAGTAAGAATATAAAACTTATTGTGTTTTTTAGTCATATTTGAAAATAATGTCAATGTTATCAATCTTTATCCAGCAGATGTCAGGGTAGCGCTTACCTCTCTGATTGGTGTATATTTGTAATTCTCCCTCCCCCCTCCAGGACATTCATTATTCGTATTTCCTGCATGCTCTACTGATGTTTCCATTCTTACTTGAGTTCTATTAGGATAGATCATTTGATTTTTGGTGCAAGAAATTGATCTGCGAGGTTTCGTTATTTAAATTTTATCGATTCCATAGGGCTTAAGAAATCTTATTTTTTAGAAATAAATAACTGTTTATATCAGTGATATTAACTTGAAGGAAATCAGGCATGCTAAAGAAAACAACATTTTGGTTTAACAGAAAATTACAGCTACCTTTTCCTGAAAACTGAATGGACCGTCAGTTAGAATGATATTTGTCATCTTAACCTCCGGTGTCCTAGCGGTAGTAGCGTCCGCCTCGGATGAGGGAGGTTGCGGGTTTGAACCCGGGCCGAGTCATACCAAAGACCTATATAAATCGTACTAGCAGTAGCATTGCTAGACGTTCAGCCTTAAGAGGTCAGTGTTAGGACTGGTCAGCCTGGTATCAGGATGATATGACTGGACATTATGCAAGATGTCCGCTGTACGATGCCCCAGTGCTAGATATCACTAAGATCTGCTACACTGCCTACATCGTAGCACTACGGCTGAAAGAGTTTTAAAGATAAGTTAAAAAATCACACACACACACACACACACACACACACACACACACACAACATATTACTGTATTATACATTTGTTGTTCTCTATTTTCCAGTATCTGTTGAATTGATACGCAGAGCAAGTTATTGCCTAATTATAGTCAATTCTTTTTTTTACAGATGAATAAAGGGACCAGTACTGATGAACTCAAGAGTAAACCTTGCATATGTTCGATATGTGGGAATTATTTTAGGTATAAAAGCTATTAGTCAAGACACTTGAATGTGCATACTGGTGAGAAACCCTTGAAATGTTTAATATGCGGAAGTTCGTTTAGCTGGAACTCTGAGTTGGACAGACATTTATCGATACACACAGGTGACGAAAACTTCAAATGCAACATTTGTGGGAAATTGTTTAACCAGAGTTCCACTATGTACAGACACTTGAGAATACACTCGGGTGACAAACGTTTCAAATGTGATACTTGCGGGAAATGGTTTCTCGAGAGAAACCATGCGCAACGACATGTGAGGACGCATACTGGTGATAAACTCTACAAATGTAAATTATGCGAAAAATTGTTTACCAGTGTTTCCTATTTCCGCAAACACTTGAAATGCCACATTGTTGGTCAAACCCCAACATGTGCTTGATGCAATCAATTGTTTCGCGTGAAATTTGCCCGGTCCAGCCTTTTTGGTGACAAAACTTGCGGTTAGGATTCGTGTGACAAATCGTAGTATAATATGTAATTTGGCAAAATACACAAAGACTGACATTGATGGAAAACCATAAAAATGTGTTTTTAGTAGCAATCATTTTACAGACTATAGATATAATTTGACAAAGCGTAGAGAGAGAGAGAGAGAGAGAGAGAGAGAGAGAGAGAGAGAGAGAGAGAGAGAGAGAGAGAGAGAGAGAGAGAGAGAGAGAGAGAGGTGGAAAACTTTGCAATAAATAGGTTTGTGGGCCAAATATTTAATTTTCTGAGATGGTGGCGGGCTGCTTTTTTGGAGGTAAATAAATTTCTTTCCCCAAAATAGCTTGTAGAAACTAAATGATTGATCGTTTGAATGTGCGTAAATTGACAAAGCAGATGATGATGCACGATGGTAGCAAGGCATTCAAATTATCGTGAGATCTGTAAGAAATTGCTTGGTAAAAGCTATTCACTGACAGCACAGACCATGACACAAAAAGAGGAGACAAAAACCCTTCATTAGTTTCCCTTGAAGTCAACACTGACACTGTACCATAAAAAAATACTCATTGGCAACCAAAGATTCACATTTAAAATATGTGGGAAATTGTTCTATTTCACCATTGAATTAACAGTGCACATGAAAAACGCAGTAGACACTGCACATAGGATGCAGTACACATAAGGGTGCAGGTGACATTGCTCATGGAGATGGACAATTGTTACCTTGCGCATAAAAACGAAAAATGATGACAATGGACGTGACGATGCGTATTGGTCTATAACACTATCTATAATAGACAGTGTACATGTGCATAACACTATATATGGTTATAAATAACGATATGACTTTTTTTAAATATTCAGTGACATATCTGTTTGCTCGTAACACATTTCTTATATTGATTTTAGGTAGAAGATATGTTGTGGCAAGCACTATGCATAAGTTTTCAAACTGTTGTACGCATATAATTATACTAAAAAGACAGACATATTTAGTTCATTAGTTTTCAGAGTCAGATGCTAGTTAGTATATATCTTGGCATTGATTCTACTTCTGAAAATTCTTGCAAGCGTGGTCATAATGACCAGCCCTAGCTAAGTTGTTTTATGTACTATATATTTTACATGATCGTGTAAATTAGGTTTTGGAGCTGTAGATTTTTCGACGTCATTTCTTTTTTATTAATCATGGTTGTCTGTCCTTTGCGAATTGTTACAATCTGCTTGCCGTCTGCATGTATTATATTCTTTTTTATTTTCTTTATTAGTCAATATTTACAGTAGATAGTGAACTAAGTAAATGAACGTTATGAATTTTGTTATTATCAATGCATCCAACAATACTGCCAACGTTCAATACCTTATCCTTGGGTAATTAAAATACACCTTCCGAACTAGCAGTGCAGTATAACCAAAGCATTATGTGGTATTTTGAAATGTAGAAACAGCATTTTCAATATTTGGAATTTATGTTGCATACAGTTTAAAATATTTCCAACAATCTTAGAAAATATCAGTGGCGTCAAGAGGGATGGTGTTACCCAGTGCGATAATTCAAACATTTTATAGACAGTCATGTGTGGTAACTCATGGTCTCACTTCAGTGGACCTCCTTTCTGCACAAAAATTCAAAACTTTTATAGATAGTCATTTTATCTGTCTGATGGTGTCACCCGGCGCTGTCCACACACACACACACACACACACACACACACACACACACACACACACACCAGTGACGCTATTGGATAATAAGTGCATGCACATTTACGTTGTATATGTCTTTTAACTTTTGTATTGCATCCGTTAATCAGTCTCTGTAAAGATATGTAAAAGTTCCAAATAGTTTTACTCATTCTTATAGTTTATGTAACAGGACCATTGTATTCCAACGTGGCCGCATAGCTCATTCGGTTAGAGCGTCGTGCTAATAACGCGAAGGTCGTAGGTTCGATCTCCACTATGGCCATACCTTATTTTCTTCTTTTCCGTCGCATAAATGTCAATTTCCACCCGTTAACGTGATTAATTCTCTACATAGTTTTCTCCAAAAAGTATATCTATTCTATTTTAAAACTTCCGCTAGGCCGTTACTCAAAGCCATTTTCAACAGATATGTAATATGTGTTTGAAGGTAAAGAGAGAGATCCACTATCCTCCTAAACCCACCTTGATACGTCTTATCCTTGTTATAGCAGTAAGCACGATTAATGGATCAGTTTAATTAAAACTCAAAAAGCTCACAGGTAGCATATTGACAGGCATGCAAATAAAAATACAAAGCTAAAATTAGCTGGAAAAAATTGTGATGTTCGGGCTGTTTATTTTCAAAATGGCATCAAAACTAAGTTATTTTAAAGAGTTCTAGTTATACAGACCAATAAAATCATTTTATGAGCCACTGTTGCTTTCATGTCTGGATTGTAAGGTTGGGTATAGTCTCAGCGTTAATTCTGTTTATATTGTGCACGCGGAAGTTAAAGTAGCATATGGTTTTGTTGGCTTTTCTACATCATTTCTCTTATACTAATCATGGTTGCCTGTCTTTTGTAAATTAGCAATCTGCTTAATTTGTGCTGGTATTATATTCCTTATTAATCAGTATTTACAATAGGGTGTGATCTAAGTAAACGAACTTTATGAATCTTTTCCTTATCATTATACTGTAGTATATGTGCCTCCCCGTTTTCCGTGCCGTCCCCTACCGATTTCAATAACAAAAATCTTTTATGTGATTAAAGTGCATCATGGCGCTGACATGTAGCATGATGTACCACCAAAGCTTGTTATGCTGACACTTGGCAGACCAGTCCAAACTCTAACCTTCGTAATGCTGAGCGCATAACGAAGAAGCTGCTAGTACCATTCTATAAGTGTTTGGCATGATTCGGCCGGAGTTTGAACCTGCGACCTCTCTCATCCGAGGCGAATGCTCTAACCACTATGCCACTGGAGTGGTCAGCATAGTTTTACAAAATCTTTTTTTCTTTCATTTTGGCATTACATATGTAGCTTTTATGGATGCTGTTTATGTGTGCAGGACGCATTAGACTGTCGCTTTCAAATCTGTTTCAGTGTTTCAATTTATTTTCAAAACTTCCGGTTAATACAGATAAAAAGGAATCAATGCTGGATTCCTTATGTCGGCCGACTTCGTAAAAAAAGAAAAAGAAATCGGCACACTTAAAAGAATCCAAAGTCAGTTTCCTGGGTTGGCTTGCTTTGTAATAAATAACCCTAGTAATCGATATTGTGTCGCCGAGTTTAACGAGTTCATTGCTCGCTGCTAGTTGTGTTTATTTATCACCCGGGTTTCTATTTTTTTTCCAAGTGTATTCATAATTAATACAAACGTTCCTTGATTTTTATCGGGTAAATAGTATACACAGTAATAACTTGTTTTAATAATGCTTTTGTAACCCATTCTAGCAAACAAGATTATAATTTGCACTCACCGTGAATGTAGTTGCAAATAAAAGATTTTAATTGTCCGAGACACCTTAGTATAATTACCTAAATTAATCTTGGTCATTTACACAATATAACGTATCATGCGAGAATGACGGGTGCCTTCGAGCAATCGGATGATATTTCCGTCTCACATGCGATTTCGTTATTTGACATAAGCAATGCATACACCAGCTGTCTTCTGCTATATATACGGAGTTGTTGGACATGTTTTCGCACGATAGAAAGGAAATACATAATGGGAGAAAGAACAGATACATTTTATATCCTAAAGACTCCGAGAACCCAATAATAAAGGAGAATCATGTAATAGTCAATGGAATAAAGGCTAAAGTCGGAAGAACAAAACCAATAACCAGAGAAATCAAATGGAGAAAAACGGACATCTTTATTACCGGACTTCCTCTAGAAATTGACAACGAGGAACTTGTAAACAAAATACAAAGAAAAATGAAGATAGTCGTTACAGCAGAGAGGTTGGCAACAGTTTGGGGCTTCCCCGGTATTAAAACAAGCGTATGAATAATAACAGTCAAGAAAGAGGATGCCAAGAACGTTCCAAATTTTTTCTATTTGATGGGTTTTTCACTCAAATCCTGGTACAGGGGTTGTAAGCAAGACAGGGTTTGTCCTATGTGCAAATGCACTGGCATTTGGCACGAGATTATAAAATTACAGGAGCTCCTGAACAATCTGACGACCATGTACCTACCTATGCCAATGCGGTGATCAAAACTCAGGGCATTATGGAAGTACAAACAAATGTACAAGGAGAAGAAATCCAAGTAATACAAGAAGAGCAGTGCTCACTTGGAAATGATAATACAGAGACGGAAGGCAAACAATGGGGAAAATACTTAAGCCCCATGGTCAATAATACCACTGGACCCTTATTAGAAGAAGACTTACTGAAACGGAACAAATTTATTGCGTTGATAGAGGAATCCGAACATGAGCCGGGAGAATTATATGGGATTATGCCCTTTACGTGGACGCCAATACCAAAAGAGAGACCAAAGAGACAAAAGAGAAAAAAAGCGGCAACTTTGACTGAAACATCATCTGAGGTGTCGTCAGAAATGAGAAAAGGGAAAGAGAAAAAGAAAAAGAAGACAATGAGCCAAAAGGCAAATAAAGAAACGGAAGCGGAAACGGAAATTGAAATTGAAAGCGAATCCAAGCCAACATCGGAAAATGGAAGTAAAAATGAAAGTGAAGAAAGTGGAGACGAAAATGGAGGTGAAGACGAAAATGAAGACGAAAATAATGGAACGGAAACGGAAATGCAAATGGAAAACGAAACAGAGAATGATACAGAAATGAAAGAAAAAGACGAAAATGGGTCAGGAAAATCCAACACCAAATCTTCCAAAATAAATGAAGGGATGGGGTCCAGGACCTCTCAAACTCAGGAAACAAACAATAATAATAATTAGTGAATAAGGGAATTTTTACAATAAGTATAAAATATAAATAAATAGCAATAATACGAAACAATGTGTATTTAATTTTAAAAAATGTATCGGCAACCTGAAGGGAAAATTGAGTAAATGAACCTCAAATTAGCTTCTATCAATATAAATGGTATAAATAGGGAAAAAGTTTATAAACTTTGTAAAGAAACGGAAACAGAATACGATATAATTTTTATTCAGGAAACACATAATGGATTTGATAAAGATTTAATTTCACAGTTAGAAAGTGGTCTAAATGGTATTTTGATACAAAGTGAGGCTAAAACTGAAGACTGCAAAGGGGGAGTGGCTACTATAATTAGAAATAATAAAATAAAGTGGGGAAAAAAAGAGAGGGAATTTTTAAAAGGGAGAGTATTACACATTGTAATAGGAAATACATATTTAATTAATTTATATTTTCCTGCCAATAAATAAAAAAAATTGATTTTATTAATAATTTAGATAAATATTAGAGTAAGTATTCTATGGCAAATATTATTATAGGAGGGGATATAAACTGGGTGGGAGACCAGATTGATAGAACAGGACCATTAACAACTGACGATAGGACAATAAAAGGGGCAATGGAACATTTTGTAAATAAGGAATAATTAAAAGACATTTATAGACTTTTAAACCTACCGAGATTGGAATTTACTTTTAAATATGGAAATAACTTAGAAAGACGCCTTGATAGATTTTATGGCAAGAATTTTAATTATAAAATATACAGAGAATCCAATATAACAAACCTGAAACTATCAGACCAAAAATTAATAAACTTAAACATTAATATTTTAAATAGAGATAAATGGGGTGAAGCCTTTTTGGAAGTTAAACAAAACGATTTTAGAGGCTAAAGAATTTATAGATGAAATTAAAAAGAATATAAAAGATGTTTTAGACACAAAACATAGAGATATAATATCAATGTCGGATAGTTTAAAGAAAAAAATTAAATTAATAGCTTTGCAACACTCTAAAATATTGAGTGAATTACAAAAAATGGATGAAAGAGAAATACAATTACTTTTAAATAGAAATATTAACGAAGAGACAAAAAGGGAATTAGAGGATAAATTAAAACAAATTAAGAAGAAAAAAATAATGGCTGTGAAATTAGGGCAGGAAAGTTTTCAAATTTGTATACATTAGCAAAAAATATTTTTAGAAGAGAGGAATTAAGGAAGGGAGGAATGAAAATAATGGAGGAAATAATAGATGAAAGGAGACAAATTTTAAAAAATAAAGAAGATACTTTAGAAAGGACTCAAAAGTATTATAAAGAATTATACACTAAACAAAATATAGATACAAACCAAATTAATAACTATTTAAGTGATATAAGATGTGAGATGATCTCATCAGTACATAAAGACTTAATTGATGATTTCATCTCAATAGATGAAATAAAAAATGCAATTAAACAACTTTCGGTAGGAAAATCCCCAGGTAGACATGGACTCACTGCGGAATTCTATCATAAATTCCAAAGTGAGTTATCGCCGATTCTTGAATTTTTATACAATAACATATTTTTAACTAATAATGAAAAGTCAAATTCAATGAGGGAAGGGATTATAACGTTAATATACAAGGGGAAGGGAGATAAGAAAGACCTAACAAATTGGAGGCCCATCTCCCTCCTAAATGTAGATTATAAGATATTAAGCAAAATTTTAGCGAATACTGTTAAAATTGTATGCCTTACCATCATTAATGATAACCAAACTTGTGGATCACAGGGAAAGGACATACAAAATAATGTTTTAAGTATCAAGACTATAATTGATTATTTTAAAACAAATAATAAGACTGGCGCTATGGTGCTAGTCGATCAGGAAAAAAGCTTTCGATAGAATTGAACAAAACTACATAGATAAGTATTAGAGAAATTCGGATTCGGAGAAAATTTCCGAAACTGGACCAAAATCCTGTATCATGATATAACTGCCAGAATACAGGGACATAGAGCGATCACGGAAAAATTTGAAATACAAAGATCAGTGAGGTAAGGTTGCCCACTGTCCATGTTATTATACGTAATAGCAATAAAAATTCTAAGTATTAAAATAAGGAACAATAGCCAAATAGAAGGAATACATACATATACCTAATTTGAAAGATGAATTTAAAATGCTACAACATGCAGACGATTGTACGAACTTTATAAGAAACCCTAATTCCTTCCAACACTTAATGAAGGAATACGAAGATTTTGGTAAAGCATCAAGGTCAAAAATCAATCATGATAAAACGGAGATATTAAAAATAGGAAACTGGAGAGGGAATCACCCTGGATTGCCTCCACAATACATAAAGAAAACGGTAAAAGCACTAGGGAGGGGGGGGGCAAAATAAAGAACTCGAAAACTACAAACAAATAATAAATAAGATCAAAAAAGCACTAGAAATCTGAGCACATATGCAATTAGTTTAATGAAAAGAGCACAAGTAGCTAAAACGTATTTATACTCAAATATAATCTATGTCCTAAAATCCTTTGATATCGATAATAAAAGTTAAGAAAAATTGGATAATGAGATAATAAACTATATATGGGAATATAAAACACATTATATACAGAAGGTGACTAATGTATAGGGCCATGGAAAAGGATGTTTAAACCTACCATGTCCAATTCTAATTAAAACGGCTAACATTATAGAACGTATTAAAAACATTATACCCAAAACTGTAAAACCTTGGGAAGGTCTATATTTATATTGGTTTGGGTGCAATTTAAAAAATAAAAATGAAATATATAGAAATAATGCCATCAGCAAAATATTTGAAGTACCAAAAAAATTACAATATATAAAAGATATATTACTTAAATATAGAGAAATTTAAATTGTATGGGGAAAAAATAACACCTATAAAACTATGAGACCTGTTATATAAAAAAAGATGTCAAATTGAGAATGAAGTGTAAGGGCTAAACTGGCTAAATATTTGGAAACTGTGGGCAAAAATAAAATCGCTTAAAATACAAAGCATAATTTTTTTAATTCTTACCTAACGC